GGAGAAAGACAACTATCATATGATCTCCCTGATATGAGGGAGAGGAGATGCAACATGGGGGGTTAAGGGGGTAGGAGAAGAGTAAATGAAACAAGATGGGATTGGCAGGGAGACAAACCATAAGTGACTCTTAATCTCACAAAACAAACTGAGGGTTGATGGGGAGAGGGGGGTTGGGGAGGGGGGGTGGGGTTATGGACATTGGGGAGGGTATGTGCTATGGTGAGTGCTGTGAAGTGTGTAAACCTGGCGATTCACAGACCTGTACCCCTGGGGATAAAAATATATTATATGTTTATAAAAAATAAAATTTAAAAAAAAAAACCCTTTTGGAGGTGGCACAAACAGGGTTTGCTAACTTCACAGATACAGGAAGTATGGAGTGGGAAGCGTACACGTAATTCCAAATGTTCAAGTTTAAGTCTGAGAGAGCAGGTGAGTGGTGTCAGCACTAAGCCCAGCAGACTAGAAGAGAAAGGGAAACTGAAGAAGGTAAAGGAGATTTTGCGATAAAGATAATGATACTGGTTTGAGTTATGTTCCTGTTGGATATCTACCTGCAGTGTTCTAGTAAGAGCATGAAAGCCGAGGAGGACAGGTACTCAACAAATATTTATTGAAAACATTTCTATCCTTAGCAATTAGGCTGCAGTGTAAGGTCATTAACATCAGGCAAGTGCTAGGTTCCCTAGAGGGCTAGCCATGGAAACTCAGCTGATCTGCAACCCCCCTCGTAGTTCTTGGCCACTCCCCAGAGTCCACTGTTGCTACCAACAGCCTCAATCCTGCCCAGCGGTGACAGTGTCGGTCAGGACCTGGGGGAAGACCAGAAGAGCCTACCAATCATCAGAGGTGTGTCCTTATTTCCATCATTATGAAGAAATCTTCTAGTGTTAAGGCTAGGACCAAACCAAATGGTTAAATAGTATATATGGGGTATCTGTTTGGCTCGGTCAGCAGAGCATGCGACTCTGATCTCAGGGTCATGAGTTCAAACCCCACATTGGGCATGGAGACTACTTTAAATAATAATAAATACATGAAATGAATAATGTATACAAATGGAATGACAGAAGAAATAATCATGCAGATCAGCTTTTCCTCCGGTGATCCTAGTTCCTAATTTACCCAGAAAATAGAGCTTACCTAGGTCAAAAGGTGCCTGTAGATATTAATTTTTCACAGCACATAACAAAAAGTAATATAACTAGTATCAGGGAGAGAGCAAAGAATCAGCAAATGTAATCTGTGTTAAGTTTTACAAAGCCTATTAAGATATGAACGCATTCCTTTCTAACATTTATAAAATTACATTCAGTGAGAACGTATTTTCTTGGTAATTGCTATAAGAGGATAATGGGAGTCCTTAAATTCCAAGTCCTTAAATGTATCTCCTTAGGAAGAGATCTGTTTCTGTATTCTCCTCCAAAGACAGAATGCTGCTGGCCTTGGAAAGGTCCTAGTAAGCTGTCTGAGTAGACAACTAGATGGTCACAGAAATCACGTCCTGGCCTCAGCCCAAGGTCCTTCTGGTTACCACAAACAACCTAGGTTCCATCCCCAGTGAATAAACACCCCCTGGCACTAAGAGCTCATGGCTTTATAGGGCTCTGGGGCTAATGCACACCATCTCCTTGGAAAAAAGGATGAGGCAGCTCCTTGGGGCCTTGCATGCGGCACGAGCCTCAGGTCGGGGCCTGAT